TTAAGGCCAGAGCTAAGTTACTTGCTAGTTCTCAAGTAAATTACGTTTTTCAAGTGGATGGATGACAACATTGTTGTGCATGCACTGCAAGTGTAAATTATATTTCTTATTAAAATTTATTAGCAAACGTTATTTATTAACTAGGATAATGTGTCAGTCGCGGTTTGACCCTTAGCATTTAGCTATCAGTTTAAAATAATCATGTCTAATTACTAAATTATAAACGTTTCTAGAATATTCGTTCAAAGTAAACATTAAGTCTGCAATTAGGTTATGTCGCTTATGTAATCAAAGGTCTAGACTCTACTGAGGGCTGACTACTATTCTAGAATAACTAGAACTGGTCTAAAATGGGATCTAAAAAGAAGTCTCAGGTGTTATGTCAGAAGTACTGACAGTAGGTAATGAGCCCTGACCATGAAGCTAATGAATGGATCTAGTGGAAAATATTCATTATTCGTCATCAAATTCAAATTCTTTATTATAAATCATCAGTCTTTAATTAAAATTTTGAGTTAATTTAATATAAGTACTAACACCCACTAACACCTTTTGTAATGTGACATGCAATAAACAATTTGAATTTGAATTTTTGAAGTTCATGACTTACTTAAACCTTAATTTGTTAATTTTAAGCAGTAGATTTATATTGTTGCTGAAATTAGTCCCATACCAGAACTCCGAATTGAGCTAATTAACATAATTTGGACTAATCTTAAGCTCGGACCCGAACTTTATAGAACGAAATGACATGTAACATAATATAATAATAACATAATAACTATGGAACTTGAAACTTCATATTCAACTCTTCAGATCCTATAATAAATTAATTATTTAAATGTTGCGATACCCTTACAGGGCTCATGTTTTGACCTAATTGTGTGTGCTTACATTATATGCATTAAAACATTATGATTAAGACTAAACATAGGTACAGTCGACAGCACATCAAGCTATACATTTTCGTTGCAAAGTCGTCTCTATCTCAACTGCGTAAGATACCACAGTAGATCACCAATGAGATGGACGGACCAGATCATGGCCGCAACTAAGTGCTCGGTTAGCGAAAGTACCCGGAAAGCTGCAGTCCGCGAGGAATGGCGCCGTATTACGAGGAACATCACTCTGACTCGTGATTCACAATGATGACCACGACCACTCTGACAAGAGTGTACCTACTGAGAAGAAGAAAGATACCACAGTGTTTACGTTGACGACAGGACTGTACATATTATTATCTACAGAAAAAAAAGTTAAATTATATTCTCTTAGTCCAAATTAAATATTTATCTTCGTGTTTATTCGTGTTTGTCTTATTTAATGAGTAGGCATCTCTACACGAGTTTCATTTAATGAAATACCTAACAATTATGTAGGTGTTCATTAATTTAATTATTCACGCGAGTGGAAAAACATGTTCTCCAAATTTCGTTCCCACTTATTCTGAGTACTACAATCTAAACCAACACAAAAAGTCACTTACGTCGCTTTCCATTAGCCAATTACGATTTTTTAAATGAAATAAAATAAATAGGGCAACAAATACAGATAATTACAAAAAAAATCCTCTTTCTAGGTGGACCGACGATCTGGTGAAGGTCGCGGGAAAAACCTGGATGCGGGCAGCGCAGGACCGTGGTCGTTACGGAAAGCCTTGGGGGAGGACTTTGTCCAGCAGTGGCCGTCATTTGGCTGAAACGAACAAACAAAAAAAATGGCAATCGTTTTAAAAAAAATATCTTGTGAGCTAAAACTCCTTAATGTTTAAATTTTAATAACCGAGTGTGCATCATTGTATTTAAATTACCTAAACTTGTTTTAGGTTCCTTAATGTACAATATATTCATTGCAATAAATAAATATACTAAATACTGAAAAAGTTACGACAAAAGTACAAATAAGTATGAAAGGCGCTATTGATCGAACGCCTACAAATAAATTCAGTAACATTTCATCTGCTAAAGAAGTTGCTGGTGAAGTTCTCTAACGCCTGTAAGATTAATAAGAGCTAAATAACAGCTCTGCAATAAAATAGTATTTAAACCACAAGTGATAATGATTAATTCTTTTTCTTCAATTACAGTTTTTAAAAAAATACCTGCGAAATATTTTTTCATGTTAGGTATGAAAATCCAATTAGGTAAATAGTGCTTTTGGTAAAAAAGAAAAGTATCTTTTCGTTTGAAAGAAAGAAAATTAGTTATTATTCAGATTATCAGAAAGAATTAATGTTGCACTTTATTTGGATTTTTATGAATAAATATTGTTGAAAATGAAAACGAAAAATGAAAATGAAATTATTTATTTGCTGAATGTGGTACATTAGATGTTACATAATAAGTATTCTGCACACATTCACCAGATTTAAACTAGCATGCAAATGTTCTATACAAGTCAATTTTGTTCATAATTTTATTTACTTAGTTTCTACTTAAATAATATCTACATAATTTGCTTTTAGTCAGAATAATCCCCTCCAGTCATAATATTCCTTAAGTGAATAAAAACAATTTGCATGCAACCAATTTGTCAACCCTATTTTAAATTCACTACCCTGTAGCAGCTTAATATAGTCAGTTATATGCATTTCTTTTGTAGATATAAGAACGACATGGTGGTTGGTACAGGAGATTTACGAACTGTACTGCGCTCTTTGCGCTCGGACAGAGACCTCTGTTACTTTTTGAAAGTATTCTGGGTGTGATTTTACCATTAAACACGCCTTCAGTATAAACATACAAGTCAGCGGAAGAATTTTAAGTTTTCTAAATAATGGTCTGCAGCTGTCCGTAGGCAGTGCATAGGTCATAGGCCGTATGCATTTTTTTAGAGCTTAACACCCTTTCAATATCCACAAAATTGCCCCACAGGACCAGGCCATTGTTCAAAAATGGCGCTGTATATGGGGTTTGGCATTCCAATAATATATGTAGATCTGACGATCGACCTGCAGGGTAGACCCAAGATGCGCGCCGTGGTATGCTTTCATTGCGTCATTTTATCGTTAAAACATCACCCTACAGCCAATAGGAGCGGAGCAGTAAAGAAAAATCTTGCAAAAACGGGAAATGATATTCAAACAATTTCCACGCGTTTGTGTTGATTATGATCCCTTTATGAGTTTCTTACTACTTAAGATTGCAAAGAACACCACCAAAGATTAACTTGGGAGTTTAAAATAAACTAGCCAAAAGCGATTCCCTCTGTATATTTTCTACTAAATGTATCAAATATAGCTCTACTGAAACGTTGTCCTTGGTGATACTGATATTTGTCACTTCACAATTTACAATCTAGTGTTAGCTTAGTAAGTGTCTAGACTGGAACTGTGACCGCGACAGTATTTTGAAACAGTTAAAAATAGCTATACTAAAAATAGAATTACTAATTACCTGATCGCTAATCACTGAGTAACAGTTGCGTGGCAGAATTAACAAGTAAGTCTTTAATGGCTGGTTTACACGTACGACATTTTTAAATTAATTTAAGTTAAATTGTTTTTAATTACTTAAATGTTATTCTGAGCTTTGTTACGTCTTGTTTGAATAGTGTAATTGGTACTACCGTTCTATTCATGAATAAATAAATAAATTTTAACTTAATTTTAAGTGATCAAATTGTATCGTACCTAACTAAATTTTAACTTAATTTCAAACGTCAAACTCTTGTTTACTATGAAACTGCTTGTCAAAACGTGTCAAGTGACCAGCCCCGCCCACCAACTTGACAGAAAAATCAAGTAAAAAAGTTACCTACATAACTACTTAACACGTGTACATCAGCCTTAAGGCNTCTTGTGTATGATGGAAGAAAATAAAGAAAATGGTGTACTAAATACTGTGCAGTATTTAACTGCCTAAATAATAATAAAAACACAGGATGTACTTTTTTAAGTTGCCTCAAGACACTGAGAGGTAATAAGTTAATATATATAGAATTAGATCAACGAACGTAATATCCTAAGGCTGAGTTGCACCATCTAACTTTAACCGTAACTTTAATGAACCGGTGTTTTTGTATGGAATTTGACAGATTTTTGACGTTTGTCAAAGTTAAAGTAAGATGGTGGCACCTAGCTAAGAAACCTGTTTTAGATTGAGTTAAACGAAAGCCAGTGGAAAGGTCTATAAAATAGAATATTACCTATATTAAGCGATGAAACTTTAACGATGCTCATTTATATCGTTGACAATTTCTTCATTTTCAAAAGTCTCCCCGAGAATGGCAATTTGGTCATAAAATCAGCACAAGAGAGCGTGTGGATATTAACTGTTTTTATCTTTGTTGTGGTTTTCTATGAGCTGTTCGTGGTGGCGGTGCAAGTTATGTGAACGGAGCGGCTGTTAATTAACTACTTATTATCTCAACAGTTCTTAAACATTCAATTTCATCAGGTAGACTTTTTATTGATGCTACGTTCTTGTTTACGACACTATTTTATTCGTACTTCCTTATATCATTTTTCCAAAGCCTCCTCTTGAGTATTTCCATAACGACAGGTCTTGGCGCTCGCACTACTTGCATCCAGGTATTTCCCTACGTCATCCAGTCTGTGGTCGCTGCTCAGAAACTTTCTGACACAATGGCCAATTTTTTTTTTCCAACTATGTATGCCCCGTCCACTGGACGCTTTCCAGTGCTGCAAAAGGAATATATCATGTGCCACGTCATAAATAAAATTATACAAACAATCGAGCTCTACATTTATCATTCAATTAATTATATTTAAATCAATTAAATTAGTTATTTATTTAGTAACCACTGAGATGACGCTACATGTACGCGTAAGGTCATCTTACAGTCTGGTAAGTGGGTCGCAAACAAAGAATATTGCTTTGTTATTTCCTATAGAGTTTAACAAAGCGATATTCCCTTTTGTCTCAATATATTCGGAGTCTTTATGTACTATATCTATCCGCTTATGAATGGACCACACTCCTAACGGGTCGTCAACCGCTCATAGGCTATAGTAGTGCACTATAATCGTATCTATCGTGCGCGCGCGCGGCCGACTACTGTCATCGGCTAGCAGCTTTAATTTCATTGCTTTATTTAAAAAAAAGTAAGACAAAGAAAAAAGTTTTCGCGCGTGAATTGCGAAGCCAGAAAAAAAGAAAAAAGTTTTTACTCTTCGATAAGTTTTTATTTAAAAAATTGCTGGCTGGCTGCACTGTGCGTGAAAAATAAAATCAAATTGGCGGGAATGGCCATAGTTTTTGATTATCTGTGATCTATTATAGTGCTAGTGTTGTTGCAACAAAATCGGAGTAAAATGTGTTGTGCAATTTAGTTTATTACCAGGAGCGCAGATTTGAAAGGCGATTGTGTGGGTCCTAGGGAATAGGGCTCAGCTAGTTATTTAGACACTAAGCTAGTGCTGACCTGTGGACTAGTTTACGAATTGGATTTATCATAAAACAAGGTAATTTTTTTTATTATTAAAGCAAGATCAGAACATATTGGCACTTGACTGAATATTAAGAAAATAATCGCAATCAATAGGTACAGCAATAAATCATCTTATTATTTTTTGTTCGACTGACGTCTTTCGATGAAACTTCGCCAACTAGTTTTGCAAGTTAACACTCTATTAATAGCCAATTGATACTTAATATCTGCCTATAACATTTGTTTGTTCTTCGTATTTAAAATCCAAAACATTGTCAACACTAAAGCTGAGTTGTACCACCTAGCTTTAACCGTAACAATGAAAATAAACGATGCTTTTTGTATGGAGTTTGACAGATTTTTAACGTTTGTCAAAATTAAAGTAAGATGGTACAACCCAGCCTAAGAGTTTTAAAATTCGCAAAGTTATAAGGTTTGGTAAATAAAAACAGATATTCGATTACTAACGATTCCACAAACTTTATTGTATTAAAGATCAAATGAATGCTTTTATTAAAATTAATGAACCACAGGCAATGTTTTAATACATATTATTGCCTATTAGTCTTTTATTACGCTATAAAATAAATCTAAAATGTGTAATTACTTAGATAAAGCACTCTAGTGTTAATTTTAAGATTTTGATTAAACGGCATAAAACCTTAAAGGCTAACAGACTAACTCTACCTTTACTTCTTTTTTATTTCCATATTATTTTTTAAACTTTCATCAGAGCCGCCCAGACAGGCTTAAAAATAATCTGTTTTCACGCAAGCTTTAATTAATATCATTTAATTTTCAGCCTCCCTACGTAACTAACATCAATTTCAATATTGGAAGATTATGTGACTGTGTTAGGCTGAGTTGCACAATCTAACTTTAACCGTAACTCTAATCATAACCGGTGTTTTTGTATGGAGTTTGACAGACTTTTGACTTTTTATTTGGCGGAAATCTGTTTTGATTTTTGTTAGAGTTAAAGTAAGATGGTGCTAGAAAGACATATTTCATCTTGATTGGCACCACACCTAGAGCTGCCTTCTATGTAGTTATACCATCGCATCATAGTAATCTAACTTCAGTGGATCCAATCAACCCATAGTCTTCCTGGTGCACTACCATTAGCCTCATTTTAGCACGCAGTAAACGCGTATTTAACATTTAGTCTAAAGCAGTGGTTCCCAAAGTTGTCTGGGCTACGATTAATCTAATACAGGTTTCCAAACTCGACCTATAGGAAATTTCGCCCGCTGCCCAAAAGGTTGGATCGGTAGGGTGGTGTGTCGTTCTACAGGCAGGGCCCACTCAATGTTCGCTCGCGACCCAATACTGGGTCGCGACCCATAGTTTGGGAAACCCTGGTCTAAAGCATTATCTAGATCCAATTAGAGATTAAATTAATTCCTTTTGCGTACGTTCACTTTAATATAATGATACTAAGATAAATCATTTTACGAAGGCTAGCTTTAGCGTGCATTTCTAACTTATGCTAATAAATAAGAAAGTTTGTAAAGAGGATAGTTTGCTACTTTTCACTCAAAACTATTAGACGGATTCTTATGAGACTCTACAATGTTTTATCTTTTAAACATCAGAAAGAACTATGTAGGTCTTAATTAATCAAAATCTGACAGGGCGAAGCCCTAGTAAATAAACTTAATGTAGTTTTGATTTTATGTCTAAATACTTAACAATAACGAAATAGGTAAATTTTTTTATCAAATTAGACAGATTATCTAAGATTTGACGCAAACTCAGGCGCGTACATTTTGAAGGCCTAATGTTTATCTACTTTTTGTATTACGTTGCCGCACAGAAACAGTTTGCCAATGGTGGTTTCATACCGTTATGCCTCGATAGCGATCGCACAACTAGTTTGCGACAATAATTGTCGAAGAATCTTGGGTTAACAGTAGGTCATGAGACTTAAGCATCTACTATTTTTTAATGCACCATTAGGCTTGGCCAGGCAGGCACTCCATAAGAGGGCCTTGTCCTGTGGCCGCGTATTTATTTTGCAATAGCTATTTAAATAAAATAGAGTTCCTAATTGCTACCATAACACAACTAAGGCATACTTTTTTAATTCGCCATTAAGTTTNGCCAACTAGTTTTACAAGTTAACACTCTATTAATAGCCAATTGATAGTTAATATCTGCCTGTAATACTTGTTTGATCTTCGTATTTAAAATCCAAAACATTGTCAACACGAAAGCTGAGTTGTACCACCTAGCTTTAACCGTAACAATGAAAATAAACGATGCTTTTTAGTTTTTTTTTTTTGTGTTCACGCATTTGAAGTCGGTTATATTTTTTTTAAAAGTTATAGATTATTGTATGACGTTTGACAGATTTTTAACGTTTGTCAAAGTAAAAGTAAGATTTTGCAACCCAGCCAGAGTTTTAAAATTCGCAAAGTTATAAGGTTTGGTAAAATAACAGATATTCGATTACTAATGATTCCACAAACAAACATGTTAAAGATCAAATGAATGCCTGTATGAAAATTAATGAACCACAGGCAATGTTTTAATATTATTGCCTATTAGCCTTCTACTACGCTATAAAATAAATCTAAAATGTGTAATTACTTAGATAAAGCACTCTAAAGTGTTAATTTACACATTTTGATTAAACGGCATAAAAACCCTAAAGGCTAACTCTGACTAACTCTACATTTAGGCTGAATGGCACGACCTAACTTTGACTTTAACTCTAACGATAACCGGTGATTTTTATGGAGTTTGACAGATTTTTGACGTTCGTCAAAGTTAAAGTNATCCCTAAGTAGAGGTAAGGGTCTATGAGAGCGAATTTACATTGAAATAGTTCAAAAATATAGTTCGTAATTGCTATCACTCTTCCGTAACAGCTGCGTGACGGAATTTCTGAATAAAAGTAACAAAAGGTGACTGTCAACTGAAGTGTAATGTAGAATATCGGTACAAAATACGATGAGAAGTGTAACGTTAAGAGTATTATTAAGAGGAATTTTGTTTTATTACCATTTTTATGACCAAAGACAATTAACAAAAACTTAAGAAAACTTAAAAATGAATGTTATTTACCCGATATGCCATACTCACGATTAAAATTAATGTGCCACTGCAACTTTTTACCACCTATCTTAAAGTAGGAGTGATGAACGGGACATTGTATAGTGCAACAACCTAACCTTCTCATATGAACACGCAGGTTCAGTAGCCTTCAACTAGATGGAATGCAACTTCGTACTTGAACCAGACTTATCATACTATAAGTACTAACTCAAACTTATTGTTGTGCAAATCTTAGGCTGAGTTGCACCACCCAACTTTAACAGTAACTATGACAATAACCGGTGTATTTTATATGGGGTTTGACTGATTTCTGACATTTGTTAAAGTCAAAGTAAGATGGTGCAACCCAGCCTTAGTAAGTTACTTGCTTAGCGCTTCTTGAACTTGCTAATTAGCAAGTTAAAAATCTGTATGCAATTTTTACGTTTAAATAACTGCCAAACATTGTGACTGCATTGAACCTAAAAAGTAAAGTCCTAAAAAAGTTTGAATACAGTCATATACCATAGTACATAATATCGCAGTCATGAATAGATAAGTTTAATTTAGAATTGCATTCAATTTTTGCACTACTAAATAAATCTATGCATATTCGCTCAAACGAGCGAGCGCCTTAAACGTTAAATTAGTATGGCAATAGGTTTACAATAGGAGCAAAACATTTCGACACCGAAACGAAGGAATAAACACTGCAATTGTCGCAATCAAATAACACGAACTTAGGTTTGCTACTTGAACGTACAACTTGACCTCTACATGCAAGGTAAAGTTTTATGAAGTTTTCTAAACGTGGGACTCCATAAAGTGGGCCACTTTATATTCTAGCGTTACTTGACCTTTGTGTTTTGGGTTAAGTAGTCTTTTAGTTCCCAAAGGGTTCGGCCTAGATTAGTTTGAGGTTGTCAAGTCCATATTACACAATACGTACCCATGTCATCGCAGGGGCTCAGCTTAGGTAGGCAGTATGATTAGATAATTGATTTAGGCCCATCAACTTCACTACATACGTACTTCGTTTCAGCCGAATGACATCCACTGCTGTACAAAGGCCTCCCTAGAATTCCCACAACAACCGGTCCTTCGCCGCTCACATCACATACCTACTTATGACTGTTAAAATGGATCACTTACTGCGTTTTGAACTAGTCTGTCTTCTAGATTTGAGACGAAAGAATCATCATTTGGTAGGTGGATCTAAACCAATTCAACCTTTATCAGGTCATCGATCACTTACTTAACACCAAGTACGATTGCGGTCAAATACCTGCCTTGTCCTGCATAAAAAATCAACTAATGCAAACACTGACTTTTAAATAAAAACGACTACAAGATTTTTAGCTTGAACATAGAACGCACTTAAAAACTTTAAGTCTTATTCCCATCTTCACATCACGCTACAACCATATTGAAGTAGGAAATAGCACTTCCATAGCTCCATTGTGTAAAAGGAAGCCAAAGTCATTAACATAGCTTGAAGAGTTCAGGGGATCAGGTATTTGCCATTCGTTTTTGTGAAAAAAGTGGCATTAGAAATTTTAGTGTCACGAGAACACACAAAACTATAGAAAGTTGCTTCTCATACCGCAACAATACATTTTGCAACTTTTTGTCGTTTGTAGATGAAAGTATACGTTACATACTCGTATTAGTAACCACCTCAACACACACAAGCTTTATGTATATTTACATATAAATTACCTACTTACTTTAGTTCAGAATTTACCTGTAACATTTAATACTTAGGACCGAAACTTTTATCTGAGAATAACATCTGGTATAACTGACATATTGACAGTAAAAATTAATCTCAGAATAAAGAGTCAGTTTTGACTTATTTCCCATACTGAAACTGTCAATGTGTCAGTTATACCAGATATTATTCTCAGATAAAAGTTTCGGGCTAATTCTAGAGCTACTTGTACTTCGATGAACAACAAAGTTCGTAATGCTTGCTTAAAACAACCTTCCACATAC